GCTAAAATGCAGTGATAGGTGTTTGAACAGTGATGGGGTACTTGAGGGACAGTGATTTGCACTGTTACTAGGAATATTTTGTTACATGCCCAAAGATACATCTTTATACTGTACTTGTACATGCCTCTAATTGTTACTGACTTGTTTTATGCTATTTTGAGTTTTTAATCTTTTCAAGGGTGCTGCTCAAAATTCTTGTATTCAAAATATGTCACAGAAGCGCCTATGAGTGCATACACACATGCACATAGTGAGAAGGACTGTTTTAGAGTTTTGTTGTTTTTACATTATTTGATATATGATAATTAATGGGAAAAGATTTAAAGCTGATGTTCTGTAGTGGCTTGTGGAATATGTCTAAGTCCATATTTTCAGAATGTGCTCATATTGATTGCATTATACACTAGGCATTTTTTTCAGTGATTTTAATTGGTTTGCTATAACTATGGCAACTATATGGCCTAGATTTTCTAGGATGATCCTGATTTCAAGGACTAATTTAATTGTTTTTATAAGTACACAAATAATAGTGAGAGCAATTGCTTCAATTTTTAGCTCAGAAAATATGGTTGTTATATCTATATTCAATTTCAGCACAGGTCATAATACCCAAGTGCTGAGCTGTGCAGCTGAAATGTTACTCAGGAGAGCCAGAGAGAGTGCTCCTGTGTTGTGATGAACAACACATGATTAACTTTTCTGGCTGGAGACCAGGAACAAGTATCTTCTGCCTGAAGCCTCATGCATTGGTCTCGGTCTCTCTCTCTCTCTCTCTCTTTCTCTCTCTCTCTCTCTCTGTCCTTATCTTCTGTGCTGGGGATTGATCACCTTCACACTTAGCTACAGCCCCCCCCCTTTTATTCTGAGGCAGGGTCTCTCTAAATTGCAAAGTTGCCCAGGCTGAGCTTGAACTTGTGATCCTCCTGCCTCAGCCTCCCAGAGCACTAGGATTAAAGATGTGTGCCATCACACAATGGCTTGTATTGTTCTTTCTTTTCCTCTTCTCATTGATTTCTTCCCATACTCCTACCCAGTATATCAGGGACAGTCAAGTGATTATATGAAGGAATGGCTGAAGAGAGGTCACCAGGATTTTACTTTAGCAACTTTTTGTTTAAAGCTGGGATTTGAAAATCGGACAATATAGTGCAAATCTTCTACCTGAGACTTCTGGAATCCTGTTTGAGTGATTTGGAAGTCTAGGTAGATTTTTTTCAAGGAGGCATAATTTAGGGATGATTGGAAATTCCCTTCCTGCCGCCTTTCTCCTAGATCGCCTTCCTCCCCTCCCCCTTTCAGCATTCATTCCGAATGTTTGATGTGATAGGAAAGTAAGAAATTACACAAAATGAAGAAGTTGGGTGGAAGATAATACTGCTTGATATCAAGCCAAGATTTGTGGATAATCAAGCTATACTGAGTTTTCAGCACTGTGTCAAAGGGAACTGTTGATATTTAATATCTTACTTGGAGTGCTTAGTTCTTAGGTAGAGAGTTAAGAAAATATTATGTTGTATTTTTGTTATTGACATTTGGTAGCTCACATGATGAGGAAGGTTCTTTGGAGAGGCTATTTCTGTCCCAAAACCTAGGAAAGGTAGCATACCCGGGACTCAGAAAGGCCAGAAGCTTTGAGAGAGCCAGCTATTAAAGACTGTGGTGGAAGGTCTTTCCGAAGCTGAGGTTAACTCTAAATGCTTCTGAAACCATGTGTCTTCATTGCAGTGGTCTGTATTTCTTGGACTAAGCTAATTCTTGAGGGTCTGCTTTATGCTAGTCTCCCTTTTGATAGGTTTATATTTCATAGATCAAAGATTCTCACAGTTTCTTTACTTTTTCCCCTTTTTTTTTTTTGCAGTGCTGGGGATTGAACACAGGGATTCATGTATGCAGGCAAGTGATCTACTACTAATCTACATCCCCAGCCTTTCTTTTTCCATTTAAAAAATCTGTTTTGGATTTAATTCAATGAAAATTAATTTCTCTCATGCTTGAGTAACTATATATTCTGTAAGTTTTATTGATATGTAATTTACATACCATAAAGTTCATCCATTTTAAGTGTACAATTTCGTGAGTTTTAGTATATTTATAGAGTTGTCAACCATCAGCCTGAACTAATTTTAGGACACTTAATCATTCCCCTAAAAAGAAACGTTGAACTAGTTAGAAATCACTTCCTACCTCATCCCCTCTCAGGGCTTCCAAGCCCGATCTACTTTTGCTTTCTGTAGATTTGTTTGTTCTGCACATTTTATTTAAATGGAATCATATGTAGCCTTTTATGTCTGGCTTCTTTCATTTGGAATAATGTTTTAGGTTGTGGAATAATGTCGAGGCTCATCTATATTGTAGCATATGTCAGTACTTTATTCCTTTTTATTGTGTAATTATATTCCATTGTCTGGATATGCTGCATTGTGCTTATCCATATATCAATCAATAGACATTTATGGTGTTCCAATGCTGTTACAAATAGAATTGTTTTCTCTTTTTCATTTTTGGCTTGCTAACTGTTACTGTACAGAAATACAATTGTGTTTTTAATTTTAATCTTGTATGGTGCAACCTTTCTCAACTTTCCAAAAAACACAGTTTTACTGTTTTTTAGTGGATTCCTCGGGTTTTTCCTATTTATAAGATCTTCTCATGTGTGAATAGAGTTTTACTTCTTTCCAATCTGGATGTCTTTTATTCTTCTTTAGTTTCTTCTTCTACCTTTGTTTAGTTTGCCATGACACTTCATGGTTCATACTCAGAACTGCAGATTTTATTTTGTTATCTTTTCGTACACTATAAATGTTGTTTTAATTTGAGAAAGTGATACCAGAGATAGAGAAAAGGGAGAAAGAAAATCTGAGTGAATCAAGTTAACTATTATTTTTGTTTGGCCAGAGCTTTGCACTTAAGTCTCATAAGTCTCTGGTGAGTGCATTCTGCCTTTGGGTTAGATGACCATTAATAAGTGATAGTCAGAGGGAAAGGGAAGCCAGTGATTCTGGGAAGCTCAGGAGAGCATTGAAATCTTGAACCTTGAAATTGACATAGATAGAACAATATTTTCCAAGAGGCATTTTTTGAATTATAGAATGTAGTTTTTTAAAAATTCAGAATGTTTCTTCATAATCTTTTTGCTTTTTGGTTGCTTTGTCTTTTGAGGCAGGGTCTTGTTATGCAGTTCAGGCTGGCCTTGAATTCACTATGTAGTCCAGGCCGGTCTTGAACTTGTGGTGATTCTCCTGCCACAGGCCCTCAAATGCCGAGATTACACCACTCCTGGATAACTTTTTCATAATCTCATTGTTTGAAGTGGGTTAGGAATTCCAAACTACTTTTAGGTTGTCTGCCCAATACCACTTATATATGTGTCATAAAAAGTGAAGGCATCCTACTTCCTTCCCATGCTTAGCTTTCATCATTTTTAATATATTTGGTTGAAAGAATATATTTAATAATCTAAGGAGGTAAGTATATTCAAGATAATAAGTGATCCTATAATCTGTCTACTCTTTCCAAGAAACCCCTTTTAAGAAAAAAATTGGTAAGCATTTATTAAGCATCTACATGTAGATCCTCTAATACATATTATGTAGTGGGGAGTATTTGTGGAGGGGGAGGTACCAAAGAAATAAAAGACAATTCTTGAGGTCTTTAGTTCTCTGTAGAAGAAAGATTTATACATATCATATAATTTGAGAAGTATAAATAGCATGTAGTCTCAAAACTGCAAAATAACAGTATATTTTATATGCATATGTGTTGAAAGGAACAAAGTGATGACCTCTGTTATTGACTGGGGATATAGAGAGGAAAAAGACTTAGCTTCTGAGCTAAAAATTCTTATAGCAATAGGTTAGAATATAAGTGAAACTCAAAAATGCTGCTGCACTGTGTGGATCCCTTTGGCCTAAGAAGATGCCTTGGTACATCATAATCCACTGCTTCTGATGCTGAAAAGGAACAAATGAAAATAATATCATCATTCACCTAATTTCTTTGGTATTTTTGCAATTTCTGTGGTCTTCTTTGGGTTTTGAAACTAGGGCCTAATGCAGGCTATCACCAAGCTACATCCCTAGTTCCACCCATCTAATTTCTAAAGAGAATACATTTGCTTCTGTAAGTCTAAGGTCATATGGCTAAACTTATATGCAGCAGAGTGTTTAGCAAAAAATAATTAAATATGTACATGGATAACCTAAAAATGATTTCAGTCTTGTAGAAGTGAAATACTGAATTAAAAACTTTCCAAACTAGATCATCTCAACTTTGTCTGAGGTAGCTTCAGTTTCTCCATAATTTATGCCATAATTAGCAATCCCTTAGGTTTTCCCCCCTGTAATATTACTTTTGTAAATGAAGTGGAAAGATATGCAAATTTAAGACATAAATATACAGCATGCATTTCTCCCCTGGTTTCTTTTATGTAGATTTGAAAACTATTGCATTAGAAATTGTACTTTACAAAAAGATATAAAACAAATAGAGTACATAGTGGCCTATGTTAAGGGACATAGAAAAATAATATTTTTTAAATAGCTAAGACTAAAATAATGCAATGATAAGTTTTGTGTCAAGGATTTGCATATAGGAATGTACAAATGCCTTCACTGGGGATAACTCAACTGTGAATTCCATGAAGAGATTATGTTTTAATTCACTAACCTAAATTTCTAGAATAAGTTTTTCAAAGCATGCTTGTTGGATTTAAGAGCTTCCTTGAAAGTTTCCCAGTTAGAAGTCTTTTCGGGCCGTCAAGACCACAATTCCCACAATGCCCTCCTGCTCCTCTTGAGCTCTCGGGAGTAAGGCAATAAATGTTCTTAACACCTCAGCACACATCGGGCCAGGCAGAGACTACAATTCCCACTACCCCTAGGGGCTCCGGAAACCTTGTCAAAGACTACCTGTTGCCATAGCATCCGGTACTGGCCAGCCAATCCGGATGCTCTTTCCGAGTAGAGGCGGGTTCTTCGCATCTCTGACCAACCCGAGGCGTTCTCTTCTGACACGTGACCGGAGGAGGTGGGAATTTAGGACCAGCGCCTTCTCCTTGCTTCTTGGGGTCGTGGCCTTGCTCCCGCTGGGCAAGGGAAGTGTCCAGTCCTCCACGCGCGTGTGCGCGGGCGCTGAGGTGCTCGTGGGTCCGCGATAGGACTCTGCGGGTCAGAGGCAGGAGCCATGGGCGGGACCGCCAGCACCCGCCGGGTCACCTTCGAGGCGGACGAGAATGAGAACATCACCGTGGTGAAGGGCATCCGGGTGAGTGTAGTGGGCGGTCAGAGGGCCAGCACTCGGACTTGGACCCCATCACTCCGACGTTTCTGGGAACCTACTCGGCTTGACCTCTTTCTTCCGAGTCTCCAGGATTGTCCCGCCAGAAGTCTGGGTCCCTGGGAAGAACCCCGGAATTTCAAAGCTTGGGACATTCATTCAGAGATAGTTTCTGGTGGTGTTCCAAGTGCTAGGCACCGTGCTTGGGCGACTGGGGGTTGCCAGGTTTACTTGAAGTCTCCATGAACTCACAGTCTGGTCCTGCCCACTAGTTGCAGTACTTTATTTGGAGCCCATCCTTCTCTGTCTGTCTGGAATGGGTTTTGTCTTAGTCCCAGGACCCAAACTCTGCTTTTGCCAGGCCAACATTCTCTCAGGGTGAATTGGCATTTTAAGGTTCTCCTCTGTTTGCATTATGCCATTTAATGCTCTCCTTCTGATCATTTAGGCCCCCCCCCCC